CCTGTGACCATGAAAGTGGATCAAGTTTGAATTTATTTGAAGTTAAAGTGATTGATTTGAACCATCTTGGTAGCCCTTCAATACATGCTTCAAGAGCAGTATCAGCATGCTGTGCTTGTTGTTAATTGACAGGTTTGAATATGTTAATACATTGTCTTTGTGTCTTAAAGTAAAAAGTGACTTAAATTCATCCATTTGAAAAAAAAAGTGTGTTGGAGTTGTCAATAACGTATACGGGGACATGCCATTCATCAAATCTTTAAATGATTTGCCTTGTCATGTTGGAAAACATCAGTTTAATATTATAACTTTACTATATATTTACATTTTTTATGTTTTATGAAACTGTTTTCAGATGCATTTATATTTCTAATTCTCGCGTCATATCTAAAAGCCAATTAGATATGGGTAACTGTTTAACTTTCAGATCAGTGAAAAAAAGTTTATTGATATTCTGGAACACCTGGTCTTATTATCTTTGTACGTTTTCAGATGTCTCCGTGTAAATCTTTCTTTTGTTTAAACTTGATTTTGAGTTAGGATTATGATTATGTTGACATGTCGGTATTTTCTTCTTACTTTTGAATGATAACTATTGTAAATGATAATAAATGGTAAAAGAATACAAAGGAACACTTAAGTTCTTATTTGCTTATTATCACATTTATGTACTCTATAATTGGAAACTAACTTTTTATGCACTGTTACTATGTCTGTGTGGCTGCTGATTCCGTTGCCGGGCTACAGACTATATTCGTCGCCAGTCAAGGTGTTAGTGATCGACTCTAGCCACTGACCTAACACTGGACGCTGTTCTGTGTATGACAGCTGGCTTTTTTGTCGGTCGTCATGTTTTAGGACACAGACAACTAAGAGCAATAATCAATAACTCTAGAGCTAGTTACCTGTCTGTGAATTACCTTGTGGCCGCTGTCAGCCTCCTGCAAACATTCTCATGTTGTGTTGTTAATGAATCAAGGAAAAGCTCTTTCTCACATCTATCTCTCTACATCTACCTTTCAGCTGTACTTCTCCGTTGTTATCTTTGATACAATATTGCCATCTTGATACAAAGCGTCAATACCAGTGAATCTGGTCAAACTGCCTATTATACACAGCCAATCGCAGACTGGATTACATGCTTTGGTACAACTTTTATCTGATAGACTGCAATCGTTGCCACCAGAGTAAGCATGCGGACAATATCGACCCTAATTGGTCAATTCAGTCAATGATTGGTTATGTTGAACTCTCGGAATTTACTGTTGTTAACAATGGCAAACTGTTAGCAATACTTAGAAGGTATTCGCTATTATAAATGTGTTGAATTTCATTTGAAAACAGTTCGCTTCAAATCCTACAGCCACTTCCTTGAAAGTACCGTTTCCGTAAACCGCCGATTTGATGTTAAAAATAATGGACAAATATAACGTTTGCTGAAAACAAGCACATTCTGTTTGGATTTTATTTTCGGATTGAAGTCAAACAGAGAGTAGAAAAAACAAGGCAGGCAGCTCAATATGATTGTAATCGTAACTCACCTCAGTCTTCCGAGCAGTTTTGTGTTTTAGATGCAAATCAGAATTATGTAATCAAGCGTGCAGGTAAATAAACTAGAAACTCATGACCCGGTTGTAGTATGTAACAAACAATGATGCCTGATCGAGGGGTATGTTGTGATCTGTCGTCATTACAGCAAAGAGATAGCTTTCCATGACTGTCTCTTGTCAAAATCAATGACCTTGATGAAATAGCTGGTATAATAACCGCAACGTAGGCTTTCGGTGACCTGAACGATGAGAATATGTATTGGAACCCACAGAGTTATGCCAATTTCCCTCATTTGACAATCTTTCTGAGCAAGATATGAAATCCTTGACTGTTTTCTACCGACCCGACTACTTCAGGGTTACAGTAATTTCAACAGGCCATGTTGTCTGGCAGCCCGGGGGAATGTTGAGAGGACATTGTCAAACAGATCTGCAAATGTGCAATTTGACGATGTTTCCTATTGGATATTCCACTAGCCAGATAACTATTTTATGTTATCACCGACAATTCAGCTTTCCATCTTTCGTCCGAACCCCGAATACTTCATCTTAGAAACACAATCCGAGGTACAACACTTATCCACCACGGTAGCGGAGTTCTATTTGACTATTCAAAGAAGGGCTTTACATTCTCTGGTAAGCCTTATTCTTCCGATTATGATGCTGGCAATCGTCAACCTGTTGGTGTTCATTCTTCCGGTCACTTAGGGTAAGCGTTCCTCCTACAGCATCACTATATCATTGGCTTCACCATGTACATGACGTTTGTGAGTGACAAGATGCCTGGATCATCGTATCCTATATCTTACCTCTCCTACTACTTCCTGGCTCTCTTCGCCATCAGCACACTCATCGTCACTGCGAACATCTTTCAAATAAGGATGTATAACAAAGAGGACGAGCATGAGCCAGTTCCTACTTGGATTTGCAAATTTGCACTTGTGCATCAGGAAATAAAACGACAAAAGAATAAAACACTGGAACTAATTTATGGAATGAAAAGTACACCAAACTCTTTCCCTTAGAGAAAGATAATATGGTGGAGGGCGGTAACATCTCCAGACTTACAGAGTGTAGATTTGAAGGTGTCACGTGGACATGTGTAGCTATCGATTTAGATACAATATATTTTGTTGTCTTTCTGCTTCTCATCACTGTGTCGAACGTTACGTTTACTTTGCAGCCATATAAACTAGTTTCTTACCCTAAAATACATATTTTAGAATGGAAGAATTACTGGTGATATTGTCCTTGTCTATGTACCGTATTTTGGCATTAGCGTTTTGTTACCAAACTTTAGCGTGTGACAAATGTTATTACTTTCCTTTTTGATATCTATTTTTGTGTTTTCTGTTGCGGTGGTGTGATCATTATATATTCTTGTATCTGAAAATTTTGTAAAACTTGGAAAATTTACGTGAATAAGAACACTTTATATGAAAGGACTACACATAATATTACTTGTATCTATATTGTCAATGACCTCATTTAGCTTTGAACCTAAACCTTACTTGAAGACTTAAACATGGAGTCTTCACAAAACAGACCAAAAAAAAGTAAAATTATATGGATACGATAACAAAAGACAAGTCTGTCATCGATTAAAGCACTGTACCAAGTCTCTCAGACTGACGGAAACATAATATGCAGCTTTCAGCATAGCTAATGAGTTACCTATACTATGTTATATCATATTATACACAAACATATCAAGCGGGATGCGATAGATCACTGTCCCAAATAATCTTACTGTTAACTGGCAAAAATAACCTTTTTGGAAACTTTGATGTCTTTTCTCTACAAAAACGTCATTGATATTCCAGATCCCTATATGTGTTGCATCCGAGTAATATCGAGATTGTACCTATCGAGCATCGAGCCCTTCAATATCCATCAGCTATCTTCTCCATAGGGAAATCCAAGGACGGAGGCTGAAGCTACGGATTTCCTGTTGTTAAAATTTTGTTTATAGGAGCATTGCATTGCTGCAAAGGACGGTATCTATGTTTTCGCATTTGACAGAAGACAATGTGCTTTGAAAGACTGCTCATGTTCTTGAGTTTCAATCCAATCTGCCTATTAAAAAGCTATTTGATACTAGCATTATCATTGTTTTACATTTAGTGTATGCATTAATATCAGTTTCCTTTCAAAAGTAACATTCTCATGTTTCAGAAATTAAAATTTATCTCACACAATGTCAGTCATGATCAGATGTTTCTCTGTATGTAAGATAATATGTTATTGCAAACGGAATCCTACAGATTGTCGGTTCTTTCAGAGTTTAAGTGCTGTGTTATTCTGTGCTAGATTGTCGGTTCTTACAGAGATTAAATACTGTCACTGTGTGCTTGATTGTCGGTTTTTACAGCGATTAAGTATTGTGTCACTGTGTGCTAGATTGTTAGTTTCTATAGAGATTACATACCGTTTCGAAGTATGCTAGATCGTCGGTTCCTGAAGAGATTAGATACTGTTTCGAAGTATGCTTATAACTGTTGGTTCCAACTGAGATTATATACCGTTTCGAAGTATGTTAGATCGTCGGTTCCTGAAGAGATTAGATACTGTTTCGAAGTATGCTTAACTGTTGGTTCCAAAAGTGATTATATACCGTTTCGAAGTATGCTAGATTGTTGGTTCCTGCAGAGAATATACCGTTTCGAAGTATGCTAGCTTGTTGGTTTCTACAGAGATTATATACCGTTTCGAAGTATGCTAGATCATCGGTTCCGAATGTTACGCATACCTCACTGAGACCACATCAACGCCAGAAGATCCTCTTAGTGGAGCTGGCGGTTTCATGGGAGGAAGGGTGCGATGACGCTCATGAACAGAAAACTGCTAAATACCAAGAATTAGCAGAAGACTGCAGACAAAAGGGATGGGGCACCTGGCTGTTCCCAGAATAGGTCGGTGCCAGAGGAGTTCCCTGCAGTCATTATTGAAGTTGATACCAGGAAGTGAGACTGACAGTAGCAAGGCGTAAGGCGAAAGCTGAGAAGGCAGATAGGGCATAGTGGTGTATATGGTACAGACGAAATGAGCCAAATTGAAGATAGTGGTTGGGATCCACCTGACTACACTGTCAACAGCATCCTACAGAGCTCCATGTTGCTTAACCAAATCAGCGTTTGAGGTGACCAATAGCAGACAAATATGTAAGTTCATACTTCATTTTTATTTTTTTTTAATTCGGATTCGTTTTTTGCAAGCTACATTATTCCTACTATGAATAAATAAGGTTTCGTTAGTTCCTACAGTGATTAAATACTGTGCCACTGTATGCTAGAATTCAGATAGTTTCAAATAGATGAACAGAAAGTAAAGCTTGGTGTTACTTCATCACCTTTAGCATGCTTCCGAGAGGTGATTTTAAATAAATTGTCTTTAAACGTGATAAACAATATTTAAACAACCCTATTTCTTACGAAGAAATGTTCGTTTTATTTATTCAATAATATCGGGATAGGTTGCACAGAAGTCTATATTTTCACAGTTGGTACATAAGTTTGGTCGTGCGTCTCCACACTGACAACCTTCATTTCTGCAGCAGGCACAATCAAATCGAGTTTTATCAAATCCACACTGACATCCAGATCTTGACGCCGTGTAGTGATTTATCTCTGTAAAGGCATGTTGTTTAGAATTGACAGACATTTCTCTAATTAATTCTTTATCGTGAAAAATTAATATGATGTACAAATCCTACAACAAAACCAAACAGGATGAAATCAACCCCTTGAGCGTCACTAAACGTTTTAACTTGTGCTCTCAAATAGCCCAACGTATGACGTGGCCTAAACCGCGATGAAGACGACGGAAAAAGTGTATCGAGTCGTTTGACAACTATATCGTATCAAAAGTTTCCGTTTTAACCTTTAGTGCTGCTGATAATTTAAGGAACAGATATTTCCATATATATTAATCTTTAAACATATACTCGCATGATAATGAACCAATGAGTTTCATTTTTGAAGAATTCGATGAAACCATGGTAAATATAAATACAAGATCCCTGACAAAGAAGAATAAGTCTATGTGTTCTGGCAGGGTAAGCGTCTTATGCTTTATTGACAATACCTGTCATGTAAATCTTGGTCAACCAAAATAAGTCATGTCTCACGAACATCGAAAACGTATGACTTCATACTGCACAAGGAAATAGATTACTTCCTAATGAGATCATTATGACAACCTAAACCTTCTCCATAATATTCATCAACTTACTGCTCTCGAAACCCTCTGTTGTAAGTTTATACATTAGTTGTTCGACATCGTTGTATATCGCAAAAACTTTTGAATAGTTTATATTGTAAACTTGTTACAAACCACTTATCCTGCTAACAGCTTTTATAAAACCTCATAGGTTTAATAGAGATCAAGTCGTATGAGAATCTACACATCCAGGAAAAAATATTAAGAGGTAAGAAACTCCTTGTAATGCCATAGCTAAGAAATTCGTGTTAACAAGCCTAGCCTTTCTGTGTTCATACACCATTTTTCTTTAAAAATAAATCGCCAATCTCTTGAAAATAGACAGTAGAAGACTTTTTTCAGATATCTGTGCTATTTGTTGTGACAAATAATTTCGGTGTTCACTTTTGATAGTTAAAAACCCCAAATGCCTATAAAACAGGAGTTCTTATAACACAATCAGAAGAACAAAGATACATGTTCACGTTAATTACAGCTGAAATACCACCCTATATTAAGAAAATCATTTTTAAATGGCATTCAAGAGCTGACTAATTTTCCTATTGACTGATTTAGGTTTTGTTTCATGTCACATAGATTAACATCATTTCTGTTATGAACATAAGATTAACTTCTTAATGGCCGACAAAATGGCTCCTTTCAAGCCGGGCTTTTGCAAAATTCACAATAACTAAAGCATTGGGCATCTGTGATGGAGAATTGGCTCAGATGACTAACTGGCTCACTGAACAAACACAGAAGGAACATGTAATGCCAGGAAATCCTCCACTGGGCCTAGTTTTTCTAGACCTTTATAGTATACGTCCTTAAAACATCCTACCAGAAGCAATGCAGATCGTACATCATTCCTTTGGTGTTTTTATCATAGTCACATATTGTGCAGTATATTTTCTTTTGACAGTACATTTCATGTAGACTCTATAATGATATCATATATCACAATCTATCCGCCTAATATATTTGCAATTGTACAATCTTAATTAACAAATGAATAACATCATATTTAGTTATAGTTGAGGATTCAGTCTATATTACGTTATTCCTAAAATTGCGATTACATAACTATGAATACCTGTCAAGGTGGCGTCCGATGTCCAGCTGTGGGGGTCAGTTGATGGGGAACAGTAGGCGGTATGGTCAGAATTTTGCTCGCCAGCGGCTTTGCATTCATTTTCTATCAGACATGAGTTGCCCTAAAACAAATAAAAAGCACGTTTGATTTTTTTCTTACTTATTGTTTCCGTTTTAACATATTCAGTAAAAGATATTTCGCAACATGTGTCATAAAAGTCAAAAAAATGTAGTGAGAATATCCATAAAACAGTAGAAGTCCTTAAAAATTAAATATCCTCGACTTACAAACCAAATATTAACAGAAATTAATAATACCCTAGCATTCCTTCCTTATTCAACCTAACATTAATGTTGATTGATTGTCACCAAAGAAATACTGGAGTCTTACGATGATGCTGTTATTGGCATTTACCTTCATTGTACAGTTGCCATTGACGTCACAGACTTGACAAGCGCCATCATACACTACAAAGGGCTGTGGAGCACTATATGCTTTTCCGTCAGTTGTCACAGACACTATGAATGCATCTGCAATGCTATCTGTATCACAAATTCACAATTCATCTTCACAGTTAATAAGTACGTGTAAACGCTTTTAAAGAAAATGTAAGTGAAATAATATTTAAGTATTTGATAACCATTTTTGTCATTGCGTGACTGTCATTTCTCAACTAGTTTTCGGCGTGGATTACTCTCCCTTACACCAAAACTTAAAGTAAAATGCAAACATTACTGTACAAATGACACATGAGTCAATACCACTTCTATACATAATTATTGATAATTATAATTGTATAGAACATACAAAAACAGTATCATAGAGCTGTGTCGTCCTTTTAGGAGTTTTCGGTGATACTAGAGGAGTACAATTCGGTGACTTAGAAGAGACACAACTGGCAGTAATAAATATTAAGACAGAAGTGGGGTTACAGTTACTCCGTTATTCAACATATCTTTTATGTTTAGATACAGCAGGATTTCAAAAGCACGTAAAGTACACGTGTACATATTCTTAACCGTGATACCATTAATAATAATAGGACGAGACAGGCAGAGTTACAGCAAACATCTGGGTCTAAAGAAGAGCAGAGTTGGTACAATCCTACAATACCTTGGCATTGTGCAAAAGGCCAAACAGCTATAACTTTACAAAATGAGTCACAATACCATATTGATGTGGTGCATTTTTAAACAGATATTTCATGACAATATAATATAATGAAATTAAAACTACACTACCTACCCTTGGTGGAAACACCATTTTGTGGCAGAGAACACTCGACTTCAAGAAAACTGATGAACTTTGCCGGTGTCACAATGACAGATCCGTATGGATGGAGACCTCCATTGTGAACCTTAACGATAAAATGATACAGTAATGATATAGTGATAAATAATACAATTATACAATAATGATATAATGATAAATAATATTATACAGTAATGATACTGTGATAAATGATATAATGATACAGTAATGATATAGTGATAAATAGTATAATGATACAGTAATGATATAGTGATAAATAATACAATTATACAGTAATGATATAATGATACAGATCGTTATGCGATGTTTCCTTCCATGGGTATTTTCTATGCAGAGTCGGCCGTGTGATTTGTGATCTGTTTGACTATCTGATTAACAAATCCAACTAGTCTAATATTAAAGAAATAATTTCCTTTCGTATTATTATATTTCAGTTTGTAACCGTTTCATGGATTGGTTAAATGGCATCACGTGACAGGGAAACATCGTATTAACCTGAAGCGCGTGACTCCATAGTGACACTCCATTATATCCCGATGTAGTTGCTTTGCCATTTGCTTTAAGTAATGGCAGATTAGTAAATGAATGTTTCAAGTTAAAAGACAACGCAGTCGATATCATTTCGTAAACCCAAGCCGCACAATACAAATGCTACAGTGAACTGTTTCAGAGAATTTATCAAGGAAACTGACATTAAACTTATGACGTACAAATCCCTCAATATTACATCTTATCGAACGACATATCCAAATCGTCGCCCAGAATATACTGCTAATGTTTGTGTTTTTTAACAAATCAAATGTCGTACTACATCTCGAACGAACCTGGATAATTGATACCCACTGTTTACACCGCCTAAAAGTATTTTAGAGAAGAAGGTTCATAAAGTTTTTCTCTATCTACGAAAAACCCCCACACTGATATATAATTTATAATGTGATTCCAGGGAGTAGTATTACCTCCGCAGCTTGGTAGCGGCACTTCAGTTCTGGAACATCCATGAGATGTTGTGCTATCACCTGAACTTTCCTACAGGCCCTGTCTCTGATACTACATACCCCGTCTCTACAGTAAGAAAAATTGTACATTTGATAGATGTCTTCAAAGAAGTCTGATGAGATTATCAATCTATAATCAGTAAGTTTTGTTTACGATTTCAGCAGGGCCGGAACTCACATTGAGATACAATATCAATGTCTATATGCTTTATTCCAATAATGAACAAAAATTTTGTAAAAAGAATTGTAGATTTTCAAAATAGATACTTTGCTGACCATTCGTGTTCTTTACATTGAAAAAAAAACCACAAATACAACTTTACACAAAATCGTACTTAATGAAATATAATGTAATCAATATTAATTTGAGTTGAAAATGAATCAAGGAGCGTATCATTAAATATGTCTCTGCCATGGTGGTCCAAAATTAAACATGAAAAGTGTAATTTATTAAGAAATCAATATACATACATTTACTGTATTTGTAATTCCGTAATTAAGTGTCAAACTACACTCTACAAGTTAGAGATTGCTTGATTCCAAAAACAATTTATATTTTGACATGTTTAATTATAACAGTATTGACCTTTTTGAATACACGTCAACACATGACTAGCCACTAAATGATGAACTCTCTCTTTATTTACCGATTGCAGGACACAAAAATCACATAACACTTTGACGAAACCAATGACGAAACTATATGATATATTACATATAGGCTTTGTTTACCTGGTTTAGTCGATGTGTTATAAATAAAAATATATTGATCTCTAGCCTCGAATTAACTTCATAACTGGCAGGAGTTACCTATATAACAAGCCAAACACATTGTAACACTACATAAACAACATGTACATATTCATATGCAATGACCTTCAATTGCGAATCCAGGAGTGACATATAAAAAAAATATCCATTTACCCACGAAAATGGCTGACAACCGGGGCGACACCTACTGGGACTGAACAATCAACGCCAGTATAACCGGCTTGACAAGCACATAGACCCTCGTGACAGGTTCCACGTCTGCTACATTGGTTTGGACACATGTGAATAGTGACGTCAGTGGGTGGGATTCTCTCACGGTTGGGTCCGACGGAATAATTCGAAACATTTCGGAGGACAGCGTCTTGACATTCGACATCGAAAGAGGTCATGTGGGCAATGTTGAATTCATCTCCATCTGCAAACTGCAGTTTTAACGAATAACACTTAATTCTACAAATTAAGGTGCAATATGTATTGAATATTTTGTTTATGGTGTCAGGAACCGCTTTTGAAATGAGTGTGAATGCTTAAGTAATCAAAATAAATTACCATCATATCTTCCACACAAGCGTCAATATAATGCTGAGAAATTTCGGACGGAAGGACAGACTGACACCGCGTGTAAAGTGAAGCGCTGTGGATTGCGTTCGTACAGGCCGTTGTAGCCATTGTCTGTGTGATTCCGCTAGGGGTTGGGAATGATCTCCTCCTCGGAATGTGAACTACATAAGGAAAGGTATAAACAAGTACAGCGTCAATTATAACGTCAAGTTTTACTGAGAGAAAAAGTATATATTTGGAAAACATATTATGATTTCTAACCATTTACAACATCAGGTAATCTTAACTCATCTCAAAAAGAATAAATTGTCTCTTAAACATGATATAATTACAGACGGTAAAAGATCTTACAAAGCGATTTTAAACTCATTTCTTTTAAAGTGAAAGCTCACATAGTCGAACAATTAATTAGAATTTATAAAAAGCAATTAAGATATCAGTGCTTCATGTGTAAACACCATTGTGCTGCAATGAATGATTCACTATTTGAATTCATTATTTTGAAAAATGTATCTATTTATAATATAGATTTTCTTACCTGAATTGAAATTTCGCTTAACTGGAGTCTCAAATGGGTAGTCGAGATCACGAGGATGCGTACCGCCTTGAACATTGACCGTGGTACATTTACCATTGCAATTCTATAAAAGAACAGTGCCTTCTAATCGATAAAATGATCACATAAAAATACCTGTACAATATGCACGAGAACCAGGTGTTGTAATAAGGTTAATACATACCTGTACAATACGCACGAGAACCAGGTGTTGTGATCGAATTTTATAACCTACCTGTTTACTAGGGTTGTTGCCCTTGGCCTTTGTACAGTCAGCTCGTGAATGGTCGCATTTACAAAAGACTTCGGGACGTTCATAACGTGCGTTAAATAGTGGCAAGGAATCGAACATGCTTGTACCCGGCTTAAGACTAGAACAATAAGGGATTGGATGTCATTCGGCAATTCGGCCCGTTCCAGTACAAAAGAAAATGAATTTTTAATATTCTATGTTGTCAAATACATGAGAAATCATATATCTTAGCATATAATTATACCCTTATACATGTAGCTAAAGCAAGGCAGATTCGTGACTTAAGGATTTAAAAAAAGGTTTAGCGCTTTGTATTGTTTCTAAAGCGAGAAAGAAAAAGGCGGTTACAGAAAAGAAAAAAGATGGAGGAAAGGACAGAGAAAGAAGGTGCCTCAGTAATAATACAGATGCAGAAGTTTGCAGCCCTTTATCCCTGCATGATATAGACCAAATAGATGTATCAGCACCCAGGACCTACTGGTTATTGAGAAGAAGTCGTTTAAGATTTTAACACCTTTGTCCCTTGTGACCTTGAATGTGGATCAAGGTTATTCGTTTTAACAAACTTGGTAGCCCTTTATCCCAGCATGCAGTATCGGACCACTAGGTCCATTGGCAATTGAGAAAAAGTCGTTTGAAAATTTCAACACATTGGACCCTTGCGACCTTTAAAGAGGGTCAGGTCACTCAATGCAACAAACTTGGTAGCTCTTCATCCCATCATGCTACAGGCCAAATATCAACACCCTTGGCCTTTCGGTTATTTGAATGGAAAGTTTATGCACGGCGCACGACGACGGTCGAATTACGATGGCTATGGAAGTTTAGAAATGTGTTTAAAAAGAAAATGATGATCTCACAGCCATGAGTGGGCAAAGTCTCCGATATGGTGGGTGTCGTAAACGTGATTATCTCCTCCCTGAAGATCGTTGGCATCCACGCCATCAAATGTTCCACAAAGACCTTCTGATTTCTCCATGTCATCTGTAGGAGCCTGTAGTGACACACTCATGTGACCGTCAAGCTCGCGTCCATGGTTAACTTTAGCAACATGCGCTCCAACTGACAGACGTGCGCCAGATGCAAAGTTTAACTAAAATAAGAATGGTATACAAAAGGAGTAAGGACAATAGCTGATGTGTTAAATGGAGATGATAATGGAAACTTTCTCAGTTTTGAAGATTTCAGACATATGTACAATATAACTACTAATTTTCTCAAATACCGAGGATTAATATCATCTGTAAAAATATATTTACTCAATCATTTTCCTTTAGAGACTACAGTTATGCGACCAATCATACTGTTGCATATACAATTCTGTTTGAATAAAAATAAAGGCACAAAAGATTTCTATGATATTCTAAACAAAAACTTGAGGGAACCAACAGGTAAAAAAAAGTGGGGGGAACAGTTCGAACTTACTAATAGAGACTGGGAAACCATATACAAAATACCTTTTTTGGTGACGAAAAACACTAAACTCCATTGGTTTCAATACAGGTTAACATATCACATTCTAACAACAAATTCCTGGCTATTTAAAGCAAAACTAGTTGACAGTCCTTTGTGTAATCTGTACAATTCTGAAAGAGAATCAATAACCCATCTTCTTTGGGAATGCCAAGAAGTCCAAAATTTTTTACAAGCTCTGGAGACACTTACTGATGCATTATTTATACCTTTTTCTATCAACAAACAGTCTTTTTTGTTTGGAATAATAAACAATAGTCCCAGTTTTAGAGTGGATAATGAAATAATTTTAATTATCAAACACTATATATACAAAACTAGACGTCTGCATAATTCTTTAAACATCTGTTCTCTTGTTAAAATCATACAGGACCACTTTTCTATACAAAAATACATTTCTAACAACAAAAATGAGACATATAAGCTAAAATTCACAAATGAATGGAAAAAATGGGAAAATTTTACCAAACTTGATATATAATATCTGTGCTATATCTTCTTATTCATTAGTATACTTCTCGACAGAGCTGACTGATCATATTTTCTTATTTACCTAAATCAAGTTAAATCAACATCCCATGGTTGTGTCTGTCTGTTTGTCTGTTTTTTGTTGTTGTCTCTGCGTCTGTGCGTAAACTGTCTGTTTGTTTGTCTGTTCTTGTTGCTGTATGTTTGTTTGTCTGTTCTTGTTGCTGTCTGTCTGTTCCAGGTCTGCCCATCTGTTTTCCCCCTCCCTTTAGTGATGAGCAGTAGGTATGAGAGCAATGTATATATGTATGTATGTGAATAAATAATGTGTATGTTATAATTGTTTGTGAATATTAAGTAAAATGAGAATTTCTTCTGGATGACTGTCGTTACGAAAGATGTTGATCTGATAATGGCATTATACATGTGTGCATGAAGCTGATGACTGTTGTATGTGATAGACAATATCATAATCAAGATAATGGCAATGATTATAGTGAGGAGTGTAGGTGATAATTGAAGATAATAAAAATAGTAATTAATTTGTATGTGTGTTTGTGCAGGTCTGGGTGTGACGGTGTGTATGTGTGTGTGAGGGAGGATGTGTGTGTGTGAATGTCTCTTCTTTTTCTTTGTGTTATATTTTGCATCAAATTCAGAAAAATAAACAATTACAAAAAAAAAGTTTAACTAAAATAAAACGTGTATTTAGGTCAACTCATACGCAAAAAAATGATGATTTTTTGTTTAGATTTTGATAAATATATCACTACCTTAATTAACATGCAGAACAAAATGTTTCACAAATAATGCCACAGTGTACACCTCTTATGTACTAGACTCAACCACATCTTATCCCTAACTCCAGCCTATACGGGAAACATAATTACAAATCACGTGTTATCTGTAACTACAACCTATACGGGAATACGGTAAATACAAATCATGTGTTATATGTAACTACAGCCTATACGGGAGAACATAGATACAAATCACGTGTTATCTGTAACTACAGCCTATACGGGAGTACGTAGATACAAATCACGTGTTATCTGTAACTACAGCCTATACGGGAGTACGTAGATACAAATCACGTGTTATCTGTAACTACAGCCTTTACGGGAGTACGTAGATACAAATCACGTGTTAACTGTGTTATCTGTAACTACAGCCTATACGGGAGTACGTAGATACAAATCACGTGTTATCTGTAACTACAGCCTATACGGGAGAACATAGATACAAATCAAGTGTTAACTGTGTTATCTGTAACTACAGCCTATACGGGAGTACGTAGATACAAATCACGTGTTAACTGTGTTATCTGTAACTACAGCCTTTACGGGAGTACGTAGATACAAATCACGTGTTATCTGTAACTACAGCCTATACGGGAGAACATAGATACAAATCACGTGTTAACTGTGTTATCTGTAACTACAGCCTATACGGGAGTACGTAGATACAAATCACGTGTTCTCTGTGTTATCTGTAATTACAGCCTTTACGGTAATACGTAAATACAAATCACGTGTTATCTGTAACTACAGCCTATACGGGAGTACGTATAATACAAATCACGTGTTAACTGTGTTATCTGTAACTACAGTCTATACGGGAATACGTAAATACAAATCACGTGTTATCTGTAACTACAGCCTATACGGGAGTACGTAGATACAAATCACGTGTTATCTGTAACTACAGCCTATACGGGAGTACGTAGATACAAATCACGTGTTATCTGTAACTACAAATCACGTGTTATCTGTAACTACAGCCTATACGGGAGTACGTATAATACAAAGCACGTGTTAACTGTGTTATCTGTAACTACAGTCTATACGGGAAAACGTAAATACAAATCACGTGTTATCTGTAACTACAGCCTATACGGGAGTACGTAGATACAAATCACGTGTTATCTGTTACTACAGCCTATACGGGAGTACGTAGATACAAATCACGTGTTATCTGTAACTACAGCCTATACGGGAGTACGTAGATACAAATCACGTGTTAACGTGTTATCTGTAACTACAGCCTATACGGGAGTACGTAGATACAAATCACGTGTTATCTGTAACTACAGCCTTTACGGGAGTACGTAGATACAAATCACGTGTTAACTGTGTTATCTGTAACTACAGCCTATACCGGAATACGTAAATACAAATCACGTAATGCGCACTCTTTTTAGACGTGGTCCTTTGGACAGGTGTTGGTATTGAGAAAAGTGCGCGGTGGCGAATTGCACGATATCGCACGTGAGAAAGGTGCGACACGAGAGTCAATCGGGGTAATAAATAAGATTATAGTGTAGCATGGTCATTCGACTCTTGACGGTCAACCTGTGCAGGAATAAACTTGATTTTTATAATGATCTTTGAGGTTCATTTTCTGTAGATAGCCAAACCTTCACGACTATTACGGAGCTCCGGAAGTGACTTGCTAATTCCGTAAGTTGGAGGAATAAATGACATCGGAAGATTTCGTGAATGACTCAATATGATTAAATTTTGTTGTAACATTGCCTGAAGAAAAATAGATGACCGTCGAAAGCCACACCCTTATATAAGTGTTGCGTTTATATGATAAATGCTTTTGTTTGAACGCAGTGAATTAGAATCATAACCATGTTTATTACTGACCAGAACCAGTGCACAACAAAACAACTCTCGCAACCTTTTTCCTCGCCACTCTCTATTCTATGCAAAGGCAAACGGGTTATTTGATACTTACGAAAAAGTTTTTCCCTGATTTATCCCTGTCGATAGTCATACTATGTAGTGGTCCATTGGATAGGACCTTCACGTCTGGGGCAGCGATTTGGTTCTTTCGTTTCTCACACATATCTATAGAAACTACATCATTGTTCTCCCTTGCTGTGATTGCGCAGATACAAGGGTGAAATTTGCCACAAGACCAAGTTCTGATGTGGATCTGCGAGAGAAAATATCCTTGATGTATTAATTTCGTGTGCAATATCAAAAAATCTTTTTCAGTCTCGTAACAAGTTTAAAACAATTGAATAAGTATTTACATGATAACACTAATTTGTATATAAATGACCGTAGAGACTAAATAACTGATGTGTGTATATATTGACTTCATAAGATGATCCAACCACACAAGGACATTGTACAAGGTTGTTTTACCGCGATATATGCTACTTCCAATTCCATTTCAATCTTCTTGAGTTAGGCCCCTTTAACAAATGTTAAGTAAACGTTTCGTTTATATTGATTAGCACGATTTTTTTATAATGAGTTGAGTACAATCAAAATCGATATCACCAGAATGAATTGTTAATAACTTAAAATTGATATTGACATTATTTATATAAGTATGTTGCAAGATGTTTCTCGGTGCTTAAATAAATAATGTATGTATGCAAATATACTGGTATCTCCACCTCTGAAAAAGCCTTTTGGAGTTATTCACATGTCTCGAAATCGGCGTGATAGGAGAAATATCATGATAATTGTGAAAACTTCTCCATTCTATCAATTACAACATGTATTGATATTTTGCTAATATGCTAAACGCAGGTAACGGATAATAAGTATGACTTTCTTCTAAAAATAGATATGAACTTTGTGCATTTTATAACAATTGGGAAACAATCTAATAGCTTAAATTGATCAATCATGTTAGCCTAGGTGGGGTCTTAATGAGTGAGGACACCAGAGTCGCCCTATACTTCCTATTCACGTTCACTCGGGAAATCAAACTCATGACGTCAAGGTTACCGCTGCGCCACCGACCACCCTAATTTTTCGTAAGTCTTTCATGAACAGCGTTGAACGAAACGGCGACATTTAAAATACCGTAATGTATAGATGCTTATTACTGGTTATCATGTAATAAGACAGCTATTTATATCATAATCCCAGTTTTCATGTTAATGACTTTAGAGACTATACAGCAAATGATCTCAATACATCTTTAATAAATTAGACGATATCACCATATAAGGACATTTTACGAGGAAGACTCGCCAAAATACACGCTTATTCAATGCCCAATGCAAGGCGTTTGCTTCTTGTGTCTGGCAGCATCGGGTATGAAGTGTTTGAAAAAGACGGCATTGCGAAGTTTCTAAACGACTATGAAGTTTCAATATATGGTTCATTAAGCATGGGAGACTTGTCAGCTACTTTTTCTTGTCTGATACTTACGAAAAAGCTGTGGAATCTAAAACCTAAGACAAGTATTTGCTGTAGAAGAGAAACCTGTGTTAACTGGCAATAAATATATATAACTACATCTGTGTGACGCAGAATACGTTAAAGATCCCCACTTGAAGTTTTTATTCGACTGAAAAGACAGAATTCCATTGGTTTTCATAGGACATTATCAATTGAAATATATCAGAAATTAGAAACCTGTGCCAACTACATGTATATCTAACCACATAGAATAGGTTTAAATCTTAAGTACAATAATACATAGATCAATAAGAAAATCCAGATCATGTTCGTCTCCGCTGTTTGGACTCCTATATATACACCCGATTTCCTTATTTTTATTCCTTAATTTTCATTTAATGGTCTGTTAATTGATATGTCAGTGCATCCTACTATCTACTAGCTACGTCCATTTTCCATTACCTCGGTTTACACCAAACTAAAACCTCGCTTATCAAAAGGTCATTCTTTTACCCTTCCTTGGAAAATACGGGTTCACAGTTCAATGAATATATACGTACCTCAAATGGTCTGGTGGAACTTTTGTACATGACGAAATCTCCCACTTCATAAACATCCATTCGGCTGAAATATATGTCTATATTTAGCTGAATTATTTATCTATTACTTTCTTTTTCCTAATTTTTCATTTCCATCTAATTATTTGCCAGAAATAATCGCAAATAGTTATTAAGGAAATTGTGTTGTTTTAGTAAGTGCTGATCATACATGCCATACAAAACTTAACTTGGTGTAGATAAGACTTCATCTGAACCAAATCTGATACTGGTATAACCCATCATTATATCCACTGTTGTTCCACTGTATTTGATGGAGTTGTGCTATCCATTACATCTAATGGTCCAGGTCTACCCATTGCATTTAATTGGTTATCATTATTAATTATATTTAATGGGTTATCAAAATCTATCATATTTAATGGGGTATCATTTGCCATTTGGTGGGGTACCAACCCTCTACGGTCTATCTGTCTGAAATGTGGATCACCGGAAGCACTGCAGAGGGCATGTGGTCTGTCCTTTGATGTAACCTGAAAATATACAGCTTTCAAATAGTTTTTCAACAAGATTTTTCTCGACAACTTTCGATTTTTTTCCTTTCGTTAGAAAATTAAATGACAATGATGGGGAAATGTGAATTATATAGCAAACGTCCATGTTCACTAGTACATTTCATTGAAAATTAAAGGCACCGATAGATTTGGCCTTGGTTCAGTTTCCTAACCACGGTTCTCTGTCATATCATTCGATCATCAGCTGCGCCGATAAACACAGAATAGTGAATGCTGGTAAATGGATTTCACGACTACTATGTACCTGTATAGGATTGATGTTATAACCATTGAACATTGGATTCGTCCACGTGAGAAGAGGACGGAATGCGAGCTCGTGAATCTGGTCACCGTCCTTGACGAAGTCACGAGTGGCCGTGACCTTGATTGTGGCTTTGTAAGTGTGACTTGCGTTGTCGTATCTTAAGGGGTATGTACACGATGAAGTGGAAACGTCTGGCCAGAATATTAAAACGATAGTTACAAATGGTGCATATTTTCTAATTTTTGTCAAGGTTTTGGCATTGATACCATAATCATATTGATTCATAAATTCTAAATAATTAGAAATTCCAAAGAAAACAATTATCCGGAATGTTAAACGTTCAGGAAAACTTTGATCACAAAGACCCAGAATAACGAACTTATCCAGAAAGTGGCGCCCCTAATTACCGAATGGGTCTTTCGATGACATCATCTCGACTTGCACGTCACATGCTTGTTTATGTGGATCATTACAGGGGATGGGTACAGTAGACTCCAGGGTAACTTCCTGCTCGGTTCCTTTCTCGTCGGCGATAATAGCATTGCTGGAGGCCTAAAAACCGAAAAATTCTGAAAATATTTGTGTGTGGAATAAAAATTAATACACTGTCGAAATTAATCACACGAGTCCGAACTTCATTGTCTACCATATTCCTTTTGTTCTGGATATCAGTTATCATTTATAAACATCACCATTTAAAATAAAATCTAATGCTACATCAGTTCTCAATGGTTCAATTTTGCTGTCGAAAAGGAAAATTACTCAATGCTTAAATATGAACATCATCTTTGAGAATTATATAAGTGATTCCGTTTGAACCCGGTATCTATACTTCTACATCATATTATCACATCTTTACTCAGTGTAACATAGAATATCTTATATATTTCCTTTGTACATGTTATTGGAGGAAGTGTCTTCTTTGTCTTAAGAACTTTCATTCAAATCACTCCCCCTGAAGTTTACGAAATTAAGGAGGTTCGACCCTTTCACTATTAAATGATTTTATGCCCGGAACACAAATATGAAGTTACATCAACATGTGTGCAAACATTACTTGTGTATTACGTAGGGTCCTGTCTCCTTAAGTTGTTTCAATGACGTTAAACGGTATCAGTTCATAACCTCTAATCTGTATGATCAATGTTTGTTCACGTGGTATCAATAGTATTATTTAACGATTAACTAGCTTTACAAAATTATCTTTGTATTCATTCTCACATGCTTTAGTAAATTAACATGTTTCGGTCTGTAAGGATATTACAAGAAGATAAATGGTATATACCCTTATTCCAGCCCAAAATCCATTACTGCTGAGGGAATCGCTTTTAATACCAGGGGTTGATAAATGGTATGACGTCACATTACACTTCAGCTAAAACATAAACAAAAAATGGAATTCAGCTTGGCATCGCTCATCAACATGACTAGTCTATTTCATTGATATACAACCTTTGTCAAACGTAGTTATACTCATCACAAGAGTAGGACAGTCAAGTTGAATGGTTAGGTTGGACTCTGATGTATTGTTATCAGTGTAAAGGGATGGGTCAGTATTGTTAATGAACAAAAACATTACTGTTAGTTAAACCCTTAAATATACCACATGCATTGACGTTGTGGACCGTCAAACAATGCAGCTGGTGTTTTCCAATTCAAACAACCAACAAGGTGTTATGAATAAAGTGTTAGAAAAGGTAAAAATCATCTCCCTTTTGGTCACAGTTTAAAACGTATGGACGTTTGGGAGGAATTTTTCTGGTTCAGGCATTAACGTATTCACGAAAATTTTAATCCGTGTAAAAAATGATACACGTTTAATGTTAATTCTCTCGTTTTAGATGAATATCTCGAAAACAAATAACCCGCGAAAAGAATCGGTTATAAGGTAATAGTTCAATATCCTACTGTTTTGCCCATGTGGCCCTCCATATGTATACCATCCAGTAAAGCGTCCCTGTTGTCTCCGGTCAGTTTGGTTACCACCGGTGCGTTCGTGTTCGGATCCACGATAGTTTGTCCATCTGCCGTCCACGTCACATCAAATCCTACATCAGGCTCACCTTTCGGGTACAGAATGTGGCATGGAAACTGGACATGGTTATTCTGGTCTATGTATGGTTGGCCCAAGGTAGGGAAATTTACCATCTTAGGATAGAGGTCTTCCAAAGAAAAATGTTAAACAAGATGAAAACAATAACAACAAAAAATATCAACAGTTCAGTGTAATGTAAAATAAAACAAATAATAAAAGGAGTATATACATGATAAATTCAGTTCCACAAGTCAAATGCATATAGATGGGAATATTAGAGGCCATCCACAACCCATTGACCTCTGTATGTAATAATGTAATAGCTTTACATTTAGTAAACAGACATACGTTCCCGTCACTCAGCGCAGACTTCCTTAAAGTCCAGAAATAGATTTATACACAAGATTTACATACTTAAAGAAAGAAACTTTTGTCTTCCTAGACATTCTAGAATAAATTCATTTTATAAACTTATTAAATTTTTGTATAATTCCTGCAATTGGGTAATCTGAAATTCACAAACTAATCAAATGAGCTGGATAGGTTCACAGTAAAGGAAAATAAAATGAACTAAACCTCCAAAACTGAATGGAATATGATGTAAAATTATACATACCCGTGCATCTATTGGCACCAATATTGGTTTGTCCAATTGGACACACATGCTGGTTTCCTGTAAGAGAACACCGACATTAAATAATCATTCTTTGACTTACCATTACACAAGTGTCATAACATCCAATCAGTGATCTTGTGGTGGTGAAAAGATTTTATCAATTAGCAAAATATAATCCATCCAATTAATTTAACTGAGTACAAAAATCTACTTTCTACTATATTGTATATCACAAGTGTTTAACGACACCAGAGACCTATATTGACGCTATTTAGGTATCCGAAACACATACCACTCTCCGCAATACATCTTCAGAGAAAAAACAAAAAAAGATTTGATAAAATCATTAAACATCTATAAACCCAATATAACTATATAAATTAAATAATTTTCTGTTTAGGTACCTGCACAATGAGATAGTTAGCTCAGTAAAGTTTACTATTGAATGTTTAGGTACCTGCACAATGAGATAGTTAACTCAGTAAAGTTTACTAGTGAATGTTTAGGTACCTACACAATGAGATAGTTAACTCAGTAAAGTTTACTAGTGAATGTTTAGGTACCTGCACAATGAGATAGTTAACTCAGTAAAGTTTACTAGTGAATGTTTAGGTACCTGCACAATGAGATAGTTAACTCAGTAAAGTTTACTAGTGAATGTTTAGGTACCTGCACAATGAGATAGTTAACTCAGTAAAGTTTACTAGTGAATGTTTAGGTACCTACACAATGAGATAGTTAACTCAGTAAAGTTTACTAGTGAATGTTTAGGTACCTTCACAATGAGAAATTCAACTTAGCAAAGATTAGTACTGTACGTTTATGTACATGCAAAATGAGACTTGTAATTTGGAAAAGTTTAGTATCGAATATTTAGGTACCTACACAATGAGATAGTAACCATATTTTTTATGTTTATGTACCTGTACAATAAAACAGTCATCATATTTACCTGCACAATAAGCCATAAAACAGGCCGGTGTCCTGGTAAGATGGTAAACGTTGAAGCCGCCACAGTTCTTAACCTGGATCGGGAGGGAGTGATGACAGCACGAAGTTCCGCCGTAAGCAGCTGCGCTAGTAGCCTGTCCGAAATTGATACAAGCTTTTCCATTAACAATACCGTCGGCTGCAGTGGGCAGGCTACCGTCGTACCAAATAGGAGCGTTAGTGCCGCAGTGATACGACGGGACACATGATGTTGGCATATCTCCATTGCTAAACCTGTACCAGGCGGGTATCAGAGCACGGTCACAAATAAGTCTATCCGTTCCTTCCGGGATAAACGCCACACTCCGATGAGGCTCAGAAATATCCCGGTATGTTGTACATGGGTCCTGTGTGGCCGTAGCTGGGATAGAGTGAAATTGCATTGTAACTTAAATTTTACTTATACGTTTTGTCCGAATTATTCTAAAATGTACAAAAGTTGTGTGGTTTTATTCTTTTATGCTAACTTCAAAAGTTCTTTTTAATTTCAGGTGTTTATTTGTCTAAAAGTTAGGAAAATATGTAGAAGTTTATAATGATTTAAAAAGCAAGCATTGATGTATCATTAGATATATCGGCTAAGCGTTTGAATGTTATACTATATACAACAACAACAAATCATCTTTATACTATTCCGTAGAACAAATGACGATAAAGTTTATCTAAATGTACCTTTACTAATTTGAGAACTTGTTCACGACTTTATCTTTTAAAAAATTTCGAATCATAACTACCAAATAAGTCATTAACCTGGTTTATAATCTACCCATTAGCTCAGACATCAAGTTTACCATTAACCTGGTTTCTGATTCATCCATCAGTTCAGACATCAAGTTTACCATTAACCTGGTTACTGATTCATCCATCAGTTCAGACATCAAGTTTACCATTAACCTGGTTTCTGATTCATCCATCAGTTCAGACATCAAGTTTACCATTAACCTGGTTTCTGATTCATCCATCAGGTCAGTCATCAAGTTTACCATTAACCTGGTTTCTGATTCATCCATCAGCTCAGTCATCAAGTTTACCATTAACCTGGTTTATAATCTACCCATTAGCTCAGACATCAAGTTTACCATTAACCTGGTTTCTGATTCATCCATCAGTTCAGACATCAAGTTTACCATTAACCTGGTTTCTGATTCATCCATCAGGTCAGTCATCAAGTTTACCATTAACCTGGTTTCTGATTCAACCATCAGCTCAGACATCAAGTTTACCATTAACCTGGTTTATAATCTACCCATTAGCTCAGACATCAAGTTTACCATTAACCTGGTTTCTGATTCATCCATCAGCTCAGTCATCAAGTTTACCATTAACCTGGTTTATAATCTACCCATTAGCTCAGACATCAAGTTTACCATTAACCTGGTTTCTGATTCATCCATCAGCTCAGTCATCAAGTTTACCATTAACCTGGTTTCTAATTTAACCATCAGCTCAGTCATCAAGTTTACCATTAACCTGGTTTCTGATTCATCCATCAGGTCAGTCATCAAGTTTACCATTAACCTGGTTTATAATCTACCCATTAGCTCAGACATCAAGTTTACCATTAACCTGGTTTCTGATTCATCCATCAGTTCAGTCATCAAGTTTACCATTAACCTGGTTTCTAATTTAACCATCAGGTCAGTCATCAAGTTTACCATTTACCTGGTTTCTGATTCATCCATCAGCTCAGTCATCAAGTTTACCATTAACCTGGTTTCTAATTTAACCATCAGCTCAGTCATCAAGTTTACCATTAACCTGGTTTCTGATTCATCCATCAGGTCAGTCATCAAGTTTACCATTAACCTGGTTTATAATCTAACCATTAGCTCAGACATCAAGTTTACCATTAACCTGGTTTCTGATTCATCCATCATTCAGTCATCAAGTTTACCATTAACCTGGTTTCTAATTTAACCATCAGGTCAGTCATCAAGTTTACCATTTACCTGGTTTTAACCATGTCAGTTTACCTGGTTTATAATCTACCCATTAGCTCAGACATCAAGTTTACCATTAACCTGGTTTCTGATTCATCCATCAGTTCAGACATCAAGTTTACCATTAACCTGGTTTCTGATTCATCCATCAGTTCAGTCATCAAGTTTACCATTAACCTGGTTTCTGATTCATCTATCAGCTCAGACATCAAATTGGCCATTTATATCAACCATCAAAATAACCATTCTACGATATTCTAATTTAATCAGTATTTTAACCATTTTACAATTTGCTCCACCGATTTCACCATTAGTTAATAATTTACATGTCAATTTGCTTTTATTTAAGGGTTTTATTACCGTCCTTTTTCATGTACCTAAGTTATTAGGGAAACTACATCTTTTACATAACCCATACCAAGTGAAATACGTAACTAGGTCGCTGTAAATACACTCCGATGCAGGTACAAAAAATGAAAATCGTAATATTTACATTGGACACAGTAATGAAATATGAAACACTACAAAATACCTCATACACATATTTAAAACTGCGGATAGGTCAGTGAACGGCCATATTTTACCGGAAGATATAGGTGGCGCCTCTTAAGTGTCATTGACGACGCCGTGATAACATAACAGTTCCAATGGGAAATGGTGAAGCTGATGTTTTTATTTACTATTTACAAATTTAGATCTCGTATGTTTTGTGATATAAGCAATCGTCGCGCATTTATAGCGGTATAAAAGTACTCATACACAAGCCGATATACCTGTACATTGTGTCACACCAATCACACCAAGTTCACACCAAGGGGTCACATCAGTCACACCATGTTCACACCAAATTCACTCCAATTACACCTCGTTCACACCAAGGTGTCACGCCAATCACAACAAGCTCACACCGAAGTGTCACGCCAATCACACCTCGTTCACACCAATCACACCTCGTTCACGCCAAGGTGTCACACCAATCACACCTCGTTCACACCAAGGTATCATACCAATCACACCTCGTTCACGCCAAGGTGTCACGCCATTCACACCAAGCTCACACCGAAGTGTCACGCCAATCACACCTCGTTCACACCAAGGTGTCATGCCATTCACAGCAAGTTCACACCAAGGTGTCACGCCAATCACACCAAGGGGTCACATCAGTCACACCATGTTCAAACCAAATTCACACCATGGTGTCACACCAGTTATACCAAGTTCACATCAAGGTGTCACGCCAATCACACCTCGTTCACACCAATCACACCTCGTTCACACCAAGGTGTCATACCAATCACACCCCGTTCACCAAGGTGTCACACCAATCACACCTCGTTCACACCAAGGTGTCACACCAATCACACCTCGTTCACGCCAAGGTGTCACGTTCAAACCATTCACACCAAGCTCAACACCAAGGTGCACACCTCGTTCACACCAATCACACCTCGTTCACACCAAGGTGTCACACCAATCACACCTCGTTCACCAAGGTGTCACACCAATAACACCACGTTCACACCAAGGTGTCACACCAATCACACCACGATCACGCCATTCACACCTAAGGTGTCACGCCATTCACACCAAGCTCACACCGAAGTCACGCCAATCACACCTCGTTCACACCAAGGTGTCACACCAATCACACCTCGTTCACACCAAGGTGTCACGCCAATCACACCAAGCTCACACCGAAGTGTCACGCCAATCACACCTCGTTCACACCAATCACACCTCGTTCACACCAAGGTGTCACACCAATCACACCTCGTTCACCAAGGTGTCACACCAATAACACCTCGTTCACACCAAGGTGTCACACCAATCACACCTCGTTCACGCCAAGGTGTCACGCCATTCACACCAAGCTCACACCAAGGTGTCACGCCAATCACACCTCGTTCACACCAATAACACCTCGTTCACACCAAGGTGTCATACCAATCACACCTCGTTCACCAAGGTGTCACACCAATCACACCTCGTTCACACCAAGGTGTCACACCAATCACACCTCGTTCACGCCAAGGTGTCACGCCAATTACACCAAGCTCAAACCAAGGTGTCACGCCATTCACACCAAGCTCACACCGAAGTGTCACGCCAATCACACCTCGTTCACACCAAGGTGTCACGCCAATCACAGCAAGTTCACACCAAGGTGTCACGCCAATCACACCAAGGGGTCACATCAGTCACACCATGTTCAAACCAAATTCACACCATGGTGTCACACCAGTTATACCAAGTTCACATCAAGGTGTCACGCCAATCACACCTCGTTCACACCAATCACACCTCGTTCACACCAAGGTGTCATACCAATCACACCTCGTTCACCAAGGTGTCACACCAATCACACCTCGTTCACACCAAGGTGTCACACCAATCACACCTCGTTCACGCCAAGGTGTCACGCCATTCACACCAAGCTCAAACCAAGGTGTCACGCCATTCATACCAAGCTCACACAGAAGTGTCACGCCAATCACACCTCGTTCACACCAAGGTATCACACCAATCACACCTCGTTCACGCCAAGATGTCACGCCATTCACACCAAGCTCACACCGAAGTGTCACGCCAATCACACCTCGTTCACACCAAGGTGTCACGCCAATCACAGCAAGTTCACACCAAGGTGTCACGCCAATCACAACAAGCTCACACCGAAGTGTCACGCCAATCACACCTCGTTCACACCAATCACACCTCGTTCACACCAAGGTGTCACACCAATCACACCTCGTTCACCAAGGTGTCACACCAATAACACCTCGTTCACACCAAGGTGTCACACCAATCACACCTCGTTCACACCAAGGTGTCACGCCATTCACACCAAGCTCACACCAAGGTGTCACGCCATTCACACCAAGCTCACACATAAGTGTCACGCCAATCACACCTCGTTCACACCAAGGTGTCACACCAATCACACCAAGTTCACACCAAGGGGTCACATCAGTCACACCATGTTCAAACCAAATTCACACCATGGTGTCACACCAGTTATACCAAGTTCACATCAAGGTGTCACACCAATCACACCAAGTTCACACGCCAAGGTGTCACGCCAATCACACCACGTTCACACCAAGGTGTCACGCCAATCACACCTCGTTCACACCAAGGTGTCACGCCAATCACACCAAGCTCACACCGAAGTGTCACGCCAATCACACCTCGTTCACACCAAGGTGTCACACCAATCACACCTCGTTCACACCAAGGTGTCACACCAATCACACCTCGTTCACACCAAGGTGTCACACCAATCACACCTCGTTCACGCCAAGGTGTCACGCCATTCACACCAAGCTCACACCAAGGTGTCACGCCATTCACACCAAGCTCACACATAAGTGTCACGCCAATCACACCTCGTTCACACCAAAGTGTCACACCAATCACACCAAGTTCACACCAAGGGGTCACAT